GCCTGCATGAGGAATACTATAGGATGATTTTGGTGCTTTTAGCTCCACAGAAATTCAGGCTTATCATAGCCTCTGTTTGTGCAGTGGGGGTTGAGTTGTTCAGAATACAAAACCATGGGTGACTGCCTGAACTTCAGCTCCCTGGCCGAAAATGCCCCTTGGTTGTGCCTCACCCAGTCACTGGAAGCCCTGAAAAGAAGGCTACTCCAAGTCTCAGGTTCAGTTAGCCCCTCCCTAAAATGGAATCCTGCCAAGCTCCTCTTCAGTGGATGTCTGGACTGGAGTCACTCACTGGTCAAAGCACCAGCTGCTCTACTGCACTGGTGCATTTCTCCCCCGAGGCCTCTGTAGGCACCATGTCTGTAGATCTGAGCCTCGTCTCTCACAGCACAAGCTGACAGTCAGAGAAAAAGTGCAGTTTGCCACCTCCTTTTTCTGCACGAAGGTCTATCTCTCCACTTTCCCTTTGATCCTCAGTTCTCCCTTCAAATTCTCCCTGGGTCCTGGGGATCCATCTCCCTCCTTCTTTTCTTCCCCCAACTTGTTATAATATTCCAATGTCTGGAGTCAAAATCTCAGAGAGGCTGATGTGTTATTGTTTATCACTCTACAGTCTTCTCAGAGGTCTGGTTCATTTTTAATTTCTAGTTCTTTCCAAAATATTCTAGATAATGTCTGTCATTTTCCTGTTAGGTCTATGGTCATCTTATACAGTGCTCTGAGATATTCTTCCATAGTAGCTCATATACTTAGATTCATATTTTCATTGATCTTAACCTACCCTATGGTCTCGTTTTCTTTTTTCCTCCTAATTGGACTTAAACATTACTTTTTAAAACAAAGAGAAAAATCAATGAAAAAATTATTCACTCCGGTAATTGGGGTATTTCTTAATATAAAAGGTAATATAAAAGGTGACTGGTCCAGTCTTGTCTGAGCCCATATAAAAGGTAACTGGCATAGTCCCAGAAGAGGTGGTAAAATGTTATTAGGATCTTGCAAGAATCACAGTCTAAAGATACAGATTGTGGTTCAAAAAAGTACTTGTGTAAACACACTAGAAAGCACGTAGGAGAGTGGAATAACAGTTCTAAGCCCAGAACTCACATGATAAAAGTGTGGCATAATCTCACTAAAACTATTAGTACATATCAGATAGAGCTCTATTTTAATAATAAATTTGGCAAGCTATCCTATAATCAAACATAAAATAGACCACAAAGTCCATTTGGAGGAAATAGTTAGAATTATAGTACTCTATTTCTCCTTAAAAATCTAAGTCACTGATATATTAGCATTTATATAGAACACACATCTTAAAGGAAGAGAAAATGGAAGTAAACTGGCATTTATTAATTTTTATTATGTCCTATGTAATATCCCTTTTAATCTTCATGACAACTTAATATGTAGATATTATTACACTGATTTCATAAGTGAAGACTTGTTAAATATAATTTCCTAAGAACACACAACTGGCACGTTCACTTTAAATTTAATATAATTGAGGTCCATATGCTCTACTCTGAAATTTCATTGTATCTCTAGAAGCTGGAACATTTATGGGATGGAAAGATTGTGTAAAGATGGTACCAAGAGAGGGTTTACTTCACTGATGCTGAAATAATCTGTGTCATAATGAAAATACTATAAAACCAAAAAAATAAGGAAAAGAAGATACATAGAAACTGAAGTAATAATACATTTGGACATGCAGTCTGATTTTATTAGAGATGTCAACTTGATTTAGTTACATTTATAGTATTCCATATTATTTTCTATAAGCAAAGTCATCCAGAAAATTACGGGTGGCATATACGATAAACATAAAAATTAAAATTTTGGCAGAATAAAATAAATAACTTTAGTAATTACATTAAGCGTGTTTTCAATCCTATAGTAAGCTATTAAAAGTAAAACAACTGTTCAAAGCATGCTGCCAAATTTTTTCAAAATGATTTGCTTTGAAATGTTGACTAAATATCTCAGAACTGTATATCATCTTTAGTATAATTAAACATTTTTCAAATCAAAACATACCTTTCCTTTGTGTGCTGAACTGTAGAGTAGATGTGACTTTCACCTTTATATTGGATGCAGAAGATTATACATTTGTTAACATTTAAAATGATTTTAAACATACATGTCCTGTAAAAACCTTTACCATTTACATTGCTTTTATCTTTTCCATTAGAAGTTAAATTAGTAGGAAAAATTTAATATTAGTATTAATATTTTATGTTATATGTGTTCAAAAATATTTGTATAATATATATTTATAAATTGAATAATTACCTAATTTATATTTAATGGATGAATAAGTGAAGTGTAGTCCAAATTAACTGACTTTTAAAAATCACTGAAGTAGTTAAACTTTTGCCTCCAGTTGATTTCTGCTACAGTTTATTCTAAAAAGTAGCCAAAACCTTTCCCTAGAACATTATCCTTAAGAAGAAATAAGCGTGTAAGATGAAAAGATGCAATATTCCCTTGCCTGTTTGTTGCATTCCCAATCCCCTCCCAACTGTTTCATTTGTTACATTTTCACAAGTATGGAAAATAATGGCCTTTCCCCAGTAGAAGAACTCCTACTTCAGAACCAAGAGAAATAACAGACTGGATTCCTAACTCACTTTCCAGACAAGAACATGCTTTGTCAAATTTTGGTTCAGAAACTTGAGATTCATTAATTCTTTTATCCCTGGGATAGTTGACAATTCTGCCTTTCTTTACTTCCACTACTATCAAAATAAGCTCTTGTCACGTATTTGAACCCTACTGATACATTTCCTAGATCTCGGTCTACATTACACCTACAGAAGAAAACTGATTTGTAAGCTGATTGTCCTTCAATAGTACTCCAAGAATACTCTCCCGAACCTTTCCTCCTTATCTGAAATGGCTTCTGCTGAGAAGATACTGCTTCCCTCTCAGGGTCCCTAGGAGAATCTGTTCCTTTTCCAAATGCAGCTTGTGCAGCACTGACATTTCCCATGAAATTTTTCTATTTAGGTGCATGCTATTTGTTGTGGTTTCATACTACTTTTCTCTCACTGTAATTTTACCAGTCACTTTTCTTCCTTGATGTCAAGGGCTTATACCATCTGATTCACTGTTTTCCTCTCAATCACACCTTTGCCATCAGGAAATTTTAATTCCCTCATGGGTGACTTATCAAAGGTATTACCATTCTATTTTTTCTATAGTCTGTTTTGTGTCTCAAATCTTTTGCCCCTAAAATTCTCTGTTTCCTATTATTTAACTCAAATTTATATCCAATTTCGGTAACCAGACAATACTATTTTATTTTTGGCTTCAAGTATGTTTGACCATAGCTGGCTTCATCTTTCAGCCTGAAGTACATGCTACTCAGAATAGTGATATTCAAAGTTTGGTCCCCAAACCAGCACTATCAGCATCAGCATCTTTTGGAAATATGAAATATAATTTCCTTGGGTTCCCTTACCCCCTCATCTACTCAGCCAGAAACTGTAATATTGGAACCCATCAAATTGTTTTTTCAAAAGTGCTCCCGTGATTCTGATACATTCTAAAATTTGAGAACCACTGCTATAAAGGATGAATTCAACTCTTCTCAAAATTTTTGGTCTTTCAGTGATAATGAACACTCAAATGTGAATATATTATTATTTTATTCTAAGATCTCACATTGTACAAGAGTCCTAAAAATGTACCAAGTTCTCCAGCTTTATCTAAGAAGCACTTTTCATATACAATAGTCAACTACAGTCCAAATGGGTTTTTTGTAATTCTTAGTTATGTAAATTTAGATACCATAAAATTGATAAATGCCCATTGTTCAATGGTACTTTCAAACGTGTTTTGGTTATTATTGGTCTCTGGAGTAGATGCTGAGATATGCTGAATTTAAGGTTACTATCTTTAGTATCCTAAGCCAAGATTTGAACTTGAAATTAGCTGAATATGAAACCATGCTTTTCCTAGTTTGCAAATGAATTATATGAAACAACACATACATCAATGTGCCTCTTCACTCTAATTGAAGCAGTGCTTATGCATGAATGTTTTAAAGAATTTTTAAGCATGAGTGTTATATAAAAATCTTTTGTTAACTAATTTTGGTAAATATCAGGCTCAATAATTTTGCATTGCAATATATTGTTGAATATTTTGATTTTATAAAATGGAGACATAGTATGATACTATCTAAAATTCTTTAAAGAATGAACCATTTGTTTATGGATCATCTATGTGAATTCATTGTAAGACTAGTGTTCCTAGAGTTGGAGTCTGAAATTTTGGATTTATTCTATTTGTTTCTCTTTAAGACACATAGATTTTCTTATCTATTTTAATTTCATTATTTCATCTACTGTTACTCTCTTTATTATCTTTCTTCTTTTTTCAACTAGAACAGTTTTTGTCCCATTATCCCACTGAGTACTATTTTTCTTTTAGAGATATATATTCTTCTAGGTTTAGAGGAGTGGATTTAGCATGTAATAGTACGTGTCTGGTATTATGAACATAATCTCTATGTATGTATACCTCACTACCTCATGTAAATTTCATGGCTTCATGCTGATAGCATAATTTATAAATTTAATAGCATCACAAGGTGAAACATAGATGTCTAATGCTGAATAAGTTGAGTCAGGGTGCCTGGCTTTCCTGCCAAAGTCCTGCTGTGCATCAAACTCAGGACTACAATTTAGAGGAGCCTCCCCATAATCCACATCTGCTTCCACAACACTACATGGAGGTGGCATTTTGCCTAAATTTCATTTCAAAAACTAACAAAAATGTAAATTGAAAATGACCAAGTTATGTAATGAGAACATATACATTTTTAAACAGGCCATATAAGTGCAACTTCTTCTAAAATCAAAGGCTGCATGTAGTTTTGTTATTAATGACAACTAGTTTTCATCGGAAATTCCTTAACCCTGCAGGAGGTTGCGTTTAGTGGATAGTTTTGTGCTAGCACCACACATTACCTCTTTTTCTTTCATGTGCAGGTTCTGCTGATCTTCTGCTTTGTGTTCCCTGCTCTTCTTGCCCCACCCTGGTGTACTCTGGTATGTTTGCTCAGGGGACTTAATGTCAATGTCAGGTAATTATAGGCTATCATCCACAACTACTCGGTGTTCAGGTTTTAAAAATACTCTGTGACCTAATGAGAAAAGATTTTGCATGAAGCACCTAGCACAATGTCTTACTTTATGTGTGTATGTCTGTGTGTGTGTGTCTGTGTGTGTGTGTGTCTGTGTGTGTGTCTGTGTGTGTGTGTGTGTGTGTGTGTGTGTGTGATGTGCTGTAGATCTCATGTCTTCATTTATTCTATGCTAACATGGGAGAACCAGGATTTCAATCCCTTTCTCCTCGACAGGAAGCATAATTTCTAGATAGATATGAGTTGAAACTTATTTTCCCACACTTCAGACTGTAGAGTATGATGGAATAAAATATTCCTTGAAATTATAGCATCTACAAACTGTTTCACAGCCTCAAACATGAAGCTACCTATAATCTTTTTGTACAAATCACTGTCAGTTATCTTCTCTTTGTAAATCACAAAGAACAAAAGTGTTGAGTTTGTCCTACATGCTCAGAAATTCATAGAATATAAAGCTGGAAAGATTTTTAGTTATCTATTTCTCTCCTAATCCATTTAGGAGAGCTGATGTCTTCTGTTGGTACGCCTACCAAGTGTTTATCCAGACAGTATGTGAAACTCTTGAGTACTGGGGAGCTCACAGTTTTGGTCTTCTCTGGACATTCACTGATCCAATAATCTCTGCAAAGCACCAGTATGCAGCCATCAGAATAGTATGTTCACTACCACATACTTTTAAACATAAAATATATTACTGTAAAGCATGGAAAAATTTTACAGTAAAACATGGGATCATTTGATAACCAACAGAAGAAACTGATTAAAAATTATAAGCAATATATACAATGGAAAGCACTGATTCTACCAGAAAGAATGAGATATGTATTAATTTGATACATATATCCTGACATCAACTGAATAAATATATATTCTGATATCAACTGAATGAATATATATTCAGTCGTGTTGATGTGAAAAACTTTTTCTCAGTACTTTGCCAAAAACAAAACAAAATAATAAAGCAAATCACAAGGGAATATGTTAAATACAACTCTTTTTTAAACATGTAATGCACAAACACACAGTCATTAATTTACATTTACAGAATGCTGCTTGAGTGATTACAAACAAAAGTGCCATCAGTGGTTGTTTCTTTGTGGTCTGATATTCACTCTGTGATAATCTGGGGCTATAGTGTTTGCATACTAAGCATATAAATCTTAAGTCATAAAATGTGTTTAAAATCTTTTGTTTAGAAATTGTAAAAGGGGTTGAGATATAACATAGCAGTAGAGCAACTGCCTGGCAAGTGTGAGGTAGTGAGTTCAATCCTCAGTACCAAAATAAAAAAATCTTATTTTGCTTGAATATACAAAACTCTCATAGCTTTCTTCTTTGAGTCACAGACAGTGCTTGTGTCTATCTTCCATGTAATGGTTATACTGCTGTATTACACAACTACCATATGATTGGTTCTTTTCTCTAGTCTTTCAGTTTTTTCTGTTTGAAATAAAGTTCTTCAATATAAGAGCTCTAACTTGGTGGGTAGTTAGTATGATTCATATTTAACACGATACTCCCTGTAGTTCTTCTCATCATGGAAATTAATACGTTGTGGAGAAGGCATATAATAAATAATTACTTACATAATATGTTGATAATGTTTTTACACAGTCATTAGACTAGAATAAGTACATGAAGGAAATAATTCTACTTTGTCGAGTAATAAAATTTCCAGAGAAAATGATAGTTCAGGCTAAAAAAATAAACCTGAAAACTAAAGGATCATAGGGATTAATCAAAAACAAGTGAGCTGAAGTTGGCCGGGGTAATTAATAATTCCAGATAAGGGAAAAGAGTGTTCTGAAAAAAATCAGTTATCTTTGTCTTTTTCTCCTTTTTTTCTTTGCTCTTTCTCTTCTATTAGGTAAATGTTTATTGAGCAAGTTACGTTCTCTTAGGCCCTGTGAGAAGTTTGGGTACTGATAGTGTTCTTGTGACATGTTTATAGTTTAGTTTAAGAATCAGAACTATTAAATATAACATATATATAAAGCAAAATAACATACAAAATATTTAGAAACATGGACATTGCCATTCTAATCTGGTTAGGATTGTAAACAGACACTCAGAAATTGGGGTACTATAAGAAAAATCTGGCTAGTGGAGCTGTACTCTAATGTTAATGCCATTGTAAAGTTTCATGCATAGTAGAAGAAAGTATTAAATTTTCTATGTTTCTGTGGTACTATACAGGAATTAAAAGTGTTTTCTTTTGTTTCATTTCTCCCCTACAGGTCTGTGAAATGGGCAGAAGAAGTAGAAAAGAGTCCTTAAAGAAACTGCAATTAATTAAATTCTTATATATAGTCCTGAATTTATTTACTCTGTGTAATTATTTAGAGAATGGTTATTTTTATAATATCAATAATAAAAGTACCATGTAACCAGGGGATGTCCACATGTATAATCAAAGACTATTAAACTTGGGAAAGGTCTCTGGGGTGGTCAGGATACTTGCTGCCTTTTGACATGGTTAGTGTCCTGGGTTTGGATTACTTTATATATAGTTATTAGAATCAATATTTGATATATTAAAACATTGCCTGATTCAAATAACTTTGCTTAAATGTTTTTCTATTTTAACTTGGCTAAGGTTTTCTACTTCTAGTTTTATAACATCTTCTCATTTTTTAGACTAATGGATAGTATGCTTAGAAAGATATGTGTGCCACTGAGGTCTCTTCAGAACTAGCTGCTTGGTATCATCATCTACCATGTGTGTTGTTTAGAGGAGTAAGAGACATATTCCTCATGACTATCTTGCCATGATTATATTCTTCATTCCTACCAAAACAAATAATTGATATATTAACTCAACAAAGCAGATTAGTAAGGAATGAAATGCATGTTCCTAGAGCACATGCAATGAAAATTGTTGGACCACTTATTTAATTATTAAAATCATTTAAGATTATTCGTTTTAAATTTGATGGATGCTCACTTTTGGAATGTGCTGTGTATTGATGCTAAGTAATTAGTTCAAGTAAATCTACTGAGTATATCTACTGTCTGTTTTACCTTGCCTTAACCTAAGATCATTTTCTGGATCCTTATGTCATTAACAGTAACTTATAAATTGCCTGTCTAGCTATCAAAGGAACAAATATTAAAGACTAGAAAATAGTTAAATAATTAACAAAGAAATTTTGATTGTATGAATTAAGCCATATTGCTAAATATACATAATATATAACATTATCATAGCATAATAAATTTTCTTATATTACCATTTTATTGTGTGTAGAAACTCATGAGACAAAAACTTATTGTTTTCTGTAGGAAAAAATAAATGCTTAAAAATTTGTAAAATTTCACCAGAAAATTGAGAAGGTAAGAGAGTACGTTTATGGGACAAGAGTACATTTTATTTAAAAAGCCTTACCAGAAAAAGTATTTTTTCAAAAATATTCAGTTGATAATTCAGTTGTTTTTCCTGTTAAAATTATCTTTCTTGAAGGCCGTCACCCATAATGGCTGAACCAGACTTACCTCCAGACATCACTTGGTTGCTTTTGGTCCTGCTCTTTCTCCCAAATCTTGGAGACAGTCACCAGATGAAGTGCCACACAGACTTTGGGTCGTATCCACTAGCATGATAGGATGCATATTGCTGAGGGTGTTGTTAAAGATAAAACCAGGAGCTGATTGAGATCATAAAGACAAATTTTAATCAGGAACTGACTATTGCAATAGGGAGGATGGTCCACCATGCGCTGGAAGTCGATTTTAATGTTTGCAAGGGTAACTACAAATTTTAAAGGCAAAATGAGGGAGAATCAAGGGGGCAGAATGGCAAGGATTTGAGAATTACAGGGGACCCGAAATTTGCAAAATGCAGGAAAGGGGAAAGGGGGGTGGTCCATGTGAACCCACTTGGATTTGTTTACTGGTTCTTGTCAAAGTTAGATTTCTACTGTGTTTTGGAACTGGCAGCTAAGAGCTTTGTCTCAGGTGCTGGCTAAAACAAAACAAAACAAAAAATTGCTTTGGTATCCTTCAGTTTTCTCATGCAGAAACTTAATGGGCGGCAGTCATCATCCTAAGGATGAAGGTTTCTGCTGCTAAGAACTTGGTTAGTATTTGGTTGCTTTTAAATGTGAAGGTCAGGGATGAATTAAATACTTGTGTTAAAGAGTCGGGAGTTTGTGTAGATTTCAGCTTACGTGAGAGGCAGTGTAGAGGAGCCTGGCTAAAATTTTCTCAAGAAGAGAATCTTTCTTGTGTCAGTTAGGAACACACACACACACACCACCTGTGTGTGCTCTTGTACACCACTGTCTCTGTCTCCTACACTTTGTCAGTGCCTTTGTGTACATGCAGAGGCTGATCCCAGGGAACATTTGGATCCACATCAGGAGGCAGCTTCAGGCTTGCTTTCTAGCCTCTAGGTCCAAATGTCACACTTAAAACCTGAGTCTGTTGATACATATCTTTTCTTTTTCTTTACTTCCATTAGTCACTAGGTTTCTATTGAAATTTTAAACATAATTCCAGAGTTATTGCTTGTGCATCTAACACAATAAAGGGCTTCTTGAGAAACTTCTCAGAGTCCCCACCCAAAATCACTACTGGCACTTACATCATGGGATGGCCTCTGGATATCCCTAGCTGGGACTGCAGTGGACCTAACCTGCTTGACATGAAAGCCAGATAGGTCTTCTGAAGGACGTCACAAAAATACACTTATTAATATTGTCATTAAATGCTTTAATGTGCAATAATTTACAGGTAGAGCTGCTTAGGGGAGAATCAGAGAGCAGTTGTGAACACATGTGGGAGTGACTTGGGGGTTTATGGGAAATCAAAGCAGTCTGCCTAGAAGAGATGATGCTTCAGATGTTTCCCTAAAAATTAAGTGGATCAAACTGAGGAATGAAGGTAGGTAGGAGGGCCTAACTGGGAGCAACAGAATGAACCCTGCTTGAAAGTGCACAGGGCATGTGTACAAATGAAAACACGTACGGTGTTTATTAGAGTTCACAGAATGTGAAATGATACAGTAATTGGGATTGAGAATTGGACAAGGAGTGTGTTGAAGAAAATCATACGTATAGCTGTGGTCTTCAGATGTACGCGTGCTGAAGCAGTCTCCCTGGGATTAAGATTTAGTTGGACCAAGGTAGATTTCAACCATCAATACTGATTGAAAAACTTCTCATTTGTTCTAATAAATAACAACAAAAAATTGAATGAATCCATTGTGGAGAAGACTACTAAAGACTTTCAGTAGGGAAAAGAAAGTGAAGCTGTTAGAGAAATAGTTAAATTAGGTCACCCTGGTAACAGGAAAATGGTAGAAGATGCAGGACATGGGCAAGCCTGAAAATGGAGAAACTAGTTATAAGGTGGTTGCAGATATAAGAAGAAAATAAAGGTTTTTAAGTTAATGCAAAAGATGGCAAAGATATAATTGTGGCAGGGATATCCCAGAGGCAGGGGAACAGATGGAACAAAACCTATGTAAGGAGTGGCTCTTGTGGCATTGTCACACGTAGAAGAAGAGGATGGGGAGTGATCAAGAGTGTCTCTGGGCCTAGAGTCATGAGTGAAGCTGACTGCAGGTGAAAAGGAGAGATGCTTGCTATTAGAGATCATTCCATTGAGGAGTGGCCACCTCAGGACATGGGATCTGAGGGGCTGGGCAGATATTGTGGCCCGAGTGCAAGGGTGAGGATGCAGACTTGCATTTATAGATATGTGAGAATGAAGAGGTAGAGTGCAGTGTCCTTGGAGACCTTGTGCTGTGAGTGGCTGGCTCCCTAAGGAACGCCTAAGTTCAGAGGTCAGCAAAGAGAAAGAAGAAAGAAAATGACATCATTATTAGAAAGATGGAGATAAAAAGAGGAAGTGATAATCACAGCTACTATGAAATTAGGCAACCGTGATTCTGTGCTGTTTTCATAGTAGTTTTCCTCAGATTTACACCTGCTACTTGATTCTACATGTACTACTTTCTTTCTGGAAATGTTTTCTTAAGCAATAAGTTGTTCTTCCTTCAATGAAAGGTCCAGAAAATGTTTTCTGTGGGTTGAGAATCCAAGGATGAAACAGGGTCTGTGTCTTTTTCTCTCTCTTTTTTTTTTTTTTTTTTTCCTTTTTTATCGGTACCGGGGAGCGAACTCACAACTGCCTGCTTGCAAGGCAGGTGCTTATGCCACTGAGCTAAACTCTCAGCCCCTGAAACAGGGTCTGTGACCACCCTTACATGATGTCTCTATGAGTAGACTGAAAGGAGAAAGGTCTCATAAACTGAGGATTTCTCTACCTCCTTTCTTTAACAAAAGACTCCAAGAATGTCAGATTCTCCTCTCTGCTTTATTTAATGTTTGCTCAGCATTTTTTGATCATTTGTTATGTGTCTAGTATTCTATTAGACTCTAAAGACCCAGCAGTAGTAGAACATGCACAGTAATCACATCCATGAGGCTGGGTCTCTATTGTCTGTACGACAGTGACAGTAACAACATATCTTAATGACATATTGCAGGACTCTGAGGGGTACACCTGAGGAACATATAATCAACATTGCACAGGAATCTTCAGCTTTGGTTCATCTATAGTCTAAAATATGAAGTGGGTAATTCAGTGAAATTGGGAAAGGTGGAGGGCAAATACAGATAGGAACTGAAGAGTATCTTTAAAGAACAGCATGTGTCAAATGGACAAAGAGGGCATAATTAGCTGAAATGAACTCTTAAGGGAATGTACAGTTTTGCCAAACAGCACAGATGATGATAGAGACAGTCAAACCTTAAAGGCTGTTGTAAGATGTGTTCCCTTCACAGGGCAATGGAAACACATGGAAGAGTTTTGAACAAATAGAGTTTCATTTCTGGAAGATGGTTCTTGGCTTCAGGGTGAAAAATGGTCAGAACAGGACAAGACTGGAGGCAAGAAGAATGATTAGGACACTTTTACAGTAACCAAAACTGGAGACAGAGAACTGCATAAATAGAGGAAAAATTAGACATTTAATTGATTAAAGACAGGAGGGAGGAGTCGCATATAATGGTTAGAGTTCTGGCCAGGACACCTGGCAGTGAAACATGTTTAAAAAAACAGGCAGATGTACAGTTCATTTGGGAGGCATAGACAAGATTTTGAGGATCAGCCACAAACAGGCAGAGGATCAAACAGAGCATAATACAAATCAAGGAAGTAAATGATATATCCTGACAAGAGGCTGCAGTGGAAAGGGAACCCAGATCTTAGGAACGCAGCAGCACGAAAGAGATGGAAAATATAATTTCAAGACTAAAACTTCATGGCCACTTGACAGAGTGGGTGGCCCACACACCGACTCTAGGAAGCAGAAGGTCAAAATCCTTGCACTTTGAGATTCCTGGTTCCTGTAAGCACAGCTGGATTTCAGGAGAAAGACAAGAAGGGGTTCGTTTGTTGAACAATCTGTAGTAGTCTGGTTTAATGAGGCTGTAGAAATTTCCTGTGGGTGGATGGAATAAAAACAACCATCGGGAGGTATGAGGGGGATATAAGGATCTTAGAATTCTCCTTATTGAGTCAAGTAAATAAGTAAATTTCTGATTCTTTTAGTGAGTGGTGACATTGACCTACAGCAATCCTATTTCTTTGGTTAATTGTGATAAAGGGACAACTAACATCTTTACAAGAAAGCTAAAAATTAGTCTTACTGGTTTACTTCAATGTAATTTTTAATATGCAGTATTTTTATTTATCCTCTTTTTCTAAAACTAATTAAACAAACATTTTCAGTTAATTATAAGGAAAATACCCTGTGTTAGCTGCAAAACTCAGAATCTTCCAGACCACTGTTTTGGGGAAGAGGAAGGAGCATCTACACCCTCCTTTATCCTAGAAACAGAGCTTTCCCGTGCTGCAGAGAGCCTTTTGCTTCCATTGTAAAAAAAGGCTTGCACACTCAACTTACACCTTTTTTTCAATTTGTATTTGACTCTCTAACTGTCATTTGATTAGCTTCTAGAAATTTGTGTGGTGGTTTCTTATCCATTTTGTGTCTTT